ACAAGTTGCCAAAGGAGATTAACATTTGAACCAGGGGGCTGGGAAGGGCAGCCCCACCCTTAATCTGGGTGGGCACAGTCTAATCAGCTGCCATCAAGGCCAGAATAAAAAGCAGGCAGAAGAATGTGAAAAGACTAGACTGGCTTAGCCTCCCAGCCTACATCTTTCTCCCGTGCTGGATGTTTGCTGCCCTTGGACATTGGACTTCAAGTTCTTCAGCTTTGGACTCAGACTGGCTTCCTTGCTCCTCAGCCTGCAGACAGCCTCTGGTGGGACCTTGTGATCGTGTCAGTTAAAACACCTTAATAAACTCCCCTTTACATAGATATATATTCTGTTCATTCTGTCCCTCTAGAGAAGCCTGACGAACACACAAGGGATTTTTCTCCCTTTCTCTTTGCTTTGGGAGGGAACTTAAGTAGTGATTGTGTCTCCATGGTTGCAGATCCTTCTAGACACCCCCTTACCATCCTGTTTGCCTTTTAAACTCTTCTGACACCACAAGCTCCGTGTTAAACTCCCTCCATTGAGCCACTTGGCAAGTGCCATTTTCCTGGCCAGTCCCTGACAAATGCAGCCAGCTTGTGGTTGATGTGTGGTCAATTTCAGTCCCACTGGTGCAGAGCCTTCATTTAACATCCACACAGAGAAGGACATGGAAGAGGAGAGGGAGGAGGAAAGTGAACTGTCAAAAATTTAGCACAACCTGGTTAATTCCAAATCTCTGTCCATCTTTCCACTGCTCACTGCACAGCTGAACAGCTGGAGAAAAAACACACAACCATGCTGTCCAGTTTCAGTTTAAAGTCATGATCACTACCCTCAAGAGAGCCCTTAATGCAGTCCTGCAATCATCCTGAGTTCCCAAAGCCATTCATTCTCCTGCTCTCCTAGACAGCTGTTCGAGTCCTTACCCTCTCTACTCAAACTCCTGATACCACACCTTCTCCCTTATCATCACTCTCAGCTGATGATCTTGCTTCCTCTTACGTGGAGAAATCAGAAGCATTCAGAAGAGAGCAAGCTTTAGGCATCACATCTCTCCACCTGCCAGTCTCTACACATTTATTCTACCTTCTCTCCAGCATCTGTCCACACAGCAGGGAAACGACAACCCCTAGACCTATTTCTTATGCACAACATAAGAAATGGTCTTGTCTACCCAGTTGCACTATTCCAACAACATTTTTTCTTCTCTCTGCATTATCAATTGGAAAGATCCAATAGAAAGCTTTCTATTGGATCTTTCCAATCAACATACAAACATGCCAATGTTTCTCTCATTTAAAAATGTTCCCGGCTGAAGCTCGGTGGCTCACGCCTGTAATCCAAGGACTTTGGGAGGCCCAGGTGGGTGGATCACCTGAGGTCAGGAGTTTGAGACCAGCCTGATCAACATGGTGAAACCCCATTTCTACTAAAAATACAAAAATTAGCTGAGCGTGGTGGCACACGCTTGCAATTCCAGCTATTCAGGAGGCTGAGGCAGGAGAATCAGTTGAACCCGGGAGGCGGAGGTTGCAGTGAGCCGAGATCACACTGCTGCACTCCAGCCTGGGCAACAGAGTGAGACTCTGTTGCAAAAAAAAAAAAGAAAAAAAAAATTCCCTTGATTCTACCTCCTCCTCTGGCCATGACCCCACTTCTCCCCTACTCTTTCAGCAAACTCTTCAAGAGAGTTGTCTTTGCTCACTCATTCTCCTTTCATTCTTTCTTGAGCCCACTTTGATCAAGGTTTTGCCCCACCTTTCCACTGAAACTGCTCTTGTCAAGGTCACAAATAACTTCTCACTACTAAATCCAATGATCAATTCCCAGTCCTCATCTTACCTCACTTTGCCTCATCCTCTGGCACAGCTGGTTCCTCCTCTCCCCCGCCTCTCAATGTTGGAGCACCCAGGATTCAGTCTTTGGATCCTTTCTCTTTTTACCTATACTTCATCAAGTCTCATGGCTTAAGTTCGGTCTACGCTTCTCCTGGTGTCCACATTTATACTTCCAGCCTGGACCTCTCCTCTGAGCTCCAGACTCCACAGCCTGCTTGACATCTCCACTTGATCTGTCACAGACATCTCAGCTTGAACAGACCCCAAACTGAGCACCTGATTTTGCCTCCTTTCAGTAAACGGCAACTTCATTCTTCCAGTTGCTGCTTCTCTTTCTTTGGATGAAGATGGATCCATCAGGAAATCCTATTTACCCTTATGTTCAGAATAATCCAGAAACTGACTACTACAGTCCTGATCATGTCCCAATCATCTCATCCCAAGATTATTTCAGTCATCTCCTATCTGCTCTCCCTACCGTGACCCTTATCCGATTCACTCTATTCTTTTTTTTTTTTTTTTTTTTTTGAGACGGAGTTTCGCTCTTGTTACCCAGGCTGGAGTGCAATGGCGCGATCTCGGCTCACCACAACCTCCGCCTCCTGGGTTCAGGCAATTCTCCTGCCCCAGCCTCCTGAGTCGCTGGGATTACAGGCACGCGCCACCATGCCCAGCTAATTTTTTGTAGTTTTAGTAGAGACGGGGTTTCACCATGTTGACCAGGATGGTCTCGATCTCTTGACCTCGTGATCCACCCGCCTCGGCCTCCTACAGTGCTGGGATTACAGGCTTGAGCCACCGCGCCCGGCCTTCACTCTATTCTTAACACAGCCACCAGAGAGAAACTTCTAACACATAAGCCAAGTTATATCACTCCTTAGCTTACCACAGGTGGAAGCTAAAATTGCTACAGTGCCTATGAGCCCCGACAGAGTCTGACCCTGTTACCTCTCTGACCTCGTCTTCCCCTCATTCATTCTGTTCCGGCTACACTGGCCCCTGTGCCTCTCGGATCGCTACAGGCATGTTCCTGCCTAAGACTAGTGCATTTGTGATTCCTTCTGCCTAGAATGCTTCTCCCTATTCTTTCTCCTTCCTTCACATCAGTACTGAAATGAGGTGGCCATCCCTGACCAGTCTGTTTAAAAGCTGTATACTCCAGGCCGGGCGCGGTGGCTCAAGCCTGTAATCCCAGCACTTTGGGAGGCCGAGGCGGGTGGATCACAAGGTCAAGAGATCGAGACCATCCTGGTCAACATGGTGAAACCCCGTCTCTACTAAAAATACAAAACATTAGCTGGGCATGGTGGCGCGTGCCTGTAATCCCAGCTACTCAGGAGGCTGAGGCAGGAGAATTGCCTGAACCCAGGAGGCAGAGGTTGCGGTGAGCCGAGATCGCGCCATTGCACTCTAGCCTGGGTAACATGAGTGAAACTCCACCTCAAAAAAAAAAAAAAAAACCAAAACTGTATACTCCCCTGGTGCCTTCACTCATCCTTCCCTACCTTAATTTTCCCTACAACACTTATTTCCATCTAATAAACCATACTTTTATGAAATTTATGTCCATTGTCTTTCTTCCCCCACTAAAGTATAAACTACATCTTGCCAGAGGAGTTTTCACTGCAATATCCCCAAAGCCCAGAATAGTGCCTGGAACAGAGTACGTACTCAATAACTGTGGTTGAATGAATGAATGAAGCCACAGAATCAAATTTCCCTGGGTCCTATGCTACTTCTGGACTTCTTATAATGGAAGCCAAGTGTCCATATTGTTAAATCAGACTGAGTTGGGTTTTCTGTTTTCTCACACTTTTAGTGGATGTCAGCCTAACTGATGCCCACGTGTTATCTTGTTTAATCCTCATACCAACTCTGAGAGTTTTATTCTTCTGGTTTCCAGATGGAAAAGGTAAGTCCCAAAGAGATTAAGTTACATGCTAGAGGTCACACAGCTAGTCCGTCGCAGAATCCAGATTCCCAGCCCATCTGACTGATGCCAAAGCCATGAAAACAGCTGCACTTCAAGAAGACTGGCCCTTCCCAGAAACACCACCAGGGCTGAGCTGAGCCAGGATCCACAGGAATGGAAGGTCTGGAGGCTGCCAGGGATCTCCACAAAAGAAACACTTACTTTCTTAAGATCCTCAAGTATCAGATGACAAAATAATCATTGCATTCCTTGGTTTGTTTCATCTTGTTTGTTTCCCGCATTTCACAATTTGTCTTATTGTTGCTTGCATGCTTATTGTCTATTTTTTCCCTTAGCTCTCTATTCTGTGTATCCTCACACCCAGCACAGTGCCTGGTACATTTTAGGCACTTCAATGAACGGATGAACAAATTGATTGGACGAACAAATTTTGCTTACTTCTTCACTCATCAAATACACCCTGATTGAGTATCTGCTTTGCACTAAGCACTGTTTTTATTATTCTTAGTCTAATAAGAGAGGTAGACATTAAACAAATAACCACACAAATAGAGGGGGGAAACCGTAATCAATGCCATAAAGGAAAAGTATGGGGTACTGTGAAAGTGTACAGCAGGTGCCCTAATTTAGATGGGAGAGTGTCAATGCAGGCCTCCAGAGCTGCAGGATGAAGGGGAAGAGTGGTCCTAGAAGAGGAACTATCCTTGCTGCCTTTCTTTTCTTTTCTTTTTTAAAAAATTTTTATTTATTTATTTTTTGTAGAGATGGGGTTTCTCCATGTTGGTCAGGCTGGTCTCGAACTCCTGACCTCAGGTGATTCGCCATCCTCGGCCTCCCAAAGCGCTAGGATTACAGGCGTGAGCCACCGCACCCGGCCCTCCTTGCTGCCTTTCAGGGACTGAAGGATAGTAGGTGTGCAACTAATGGTCTCATCTTCTCCGTGGTGCCCTGTGCTTCCTAAGATCTGCCAGAGATAGAGGGCATAGGCCAGCTTGATCCTGCCTGTTGGACCCAGCTTTATCTTCAGTCATTCTATGTCCAGAAATCCTGAGCCTGGCCACTTTTCCTTGAGCCAGAATAATTCAGAGAACTATTAGCCAGAGTAACGCAGAAAACTGATCACTGCAAGTCACTCTACCTTGGAGCTATTGGAATGGCTCCAGAACAAGGCACTGGGGCCCAAGGCAGAATTCCAACACGGAGGGTTTTACATAAGACAGACTCCACCTGGGAGGGCTGGGGTGGGAACCAAGCACCAAAGAAGACGGGAGGCCAGGTCCACTGATGGCTGTCTCCCTCTTCTCTGTAGCCCTCCCCAACCCCTAAGCAGCCCAGCCCCAGCAGAAGAGGCCTGGGCACAGGAATGGATTGCTGCTAGAAACCTGGCTTCAGCTGGAGGAAGTCGGAAGGCTGGGCTGATGGCTGCGCAGACAGAGCTGTGTTTATCCAGGAAAAGAGGTAGGACGTAGGCAGCAGAGGCCCCTGCCAGCACCTCCCAGAAGGACTGCGCTGGGGGAGCAAGCTGGAGAGGAAGCTGCTCCCCTCTGGCTCTGAACGTGTCAGGGCCTGAGGCCAGAACCCAGAGGCGACCCACAGGTAAGGCCTGCACTCCGGGCGCGCGATGGAGAGGGTCGCGGGCTTGGATCCCAGGGCGGACGGTCGGAACACGGTGCTCTTGGTGGCCCCGCGCAGGGGTGAGGCGATCGCATGCTGGCCGAGCCTTTCGGAGACTGCTCTGGGGTTGGCGGAGAATCAATGCTGCCTTTGTGCTCAGAGATTTCCTAGGGAGAAAAGGAGTGGGGAGTGGGAGGGGCGACCCAACGGCCCGGCCCCGCCCCGCAGACACGGGATGCGGTAGGGCTGGGAGGCGCGGGAGCTGGAGGGTCAGAGCTACCGGGGGTGGGATTCTGTGCCCCCGGGAGGTGCGTCTCCTTGAACCAGCCCTGGGTGCCCTGAGGTCAGTAGCCAGGTGTGTCCCCTGGCTGCCAGGGGCAGAAGTGAGTCCTCTTCTGGCTTCCAGCTACTCGAGGAGGGGAGGGAGGAGCCAGAGGAGGCAGGTGGGGCTAGGACTGAAGGATGGCTCAGGCCAGAGAAGCTTGCGCCGGGGCAGCCTGGCAAAGGGAGGGAGTCCAGAGGAGCGCCAGACTGGTTCCTGGAGGAAAACCCGTCTTCGAAATGGGCGGGGGAGAAGGGTGTGAGCCCGCCTAGGACGAGGTGTCCCTTCCAGGGGATTGGGATCTGGGTCCTTTTGCTATAACGCGGTTATTATCCTATTTGTCCTAATAGTACCCTAGGGTTCTAGTGGGTGTGTTGGGCCCTCTAAAGTCAGGGGCACATCTTTAGTACCAATGGGAGAATCTGTGTGCTTGGTGACCGAGGCCCGTATCTGAAAATGTGACTGGACCTGGTTCCCTCCATTTCTCCCCATCCTCCCAGGCTTCACCACCCTTTCTTTTTATCCTCAAATAGGGGTCTGCGCTCCCAGTGGGTCCGGAGACAGGGGCGCGGTGGCCGACCGTCCGGTGTACCCCAGCATCATCCACCTCTGACTCCTCTTCTCTCCTCGCTTCGCCCCGCTCCGCCCAGCACTCCCATTTGAGACTTGGGATTGGGATCCTCTCGGCCCTGCGGAATTCGGAATTCCATTACCCAGCCCACCGCATGTGGCTCTTGGAAAAAGCTGGCTATAAGGTGGGGGCCGCGGAACCTGGGGCCCGCTGGGCGCTCTCGGGCCTGTTCTCCAAGCGTCGCGCCCCGGGCCCGCCCACCGGCGCCTGCCCCAACGTCCTCACCCCGGATCGCATCCCGCAGTTCTTCATCCCTCCTCGGCTCCGGGATCCCGGCGGCGCAGAGCCCGCGGCCCGGCGGGACTTGGCCGGGCGCGGCCTCCCCGCGGCCTGCTCGCTGCCTCACCTGGCTGGTCGCGAAGGCTGGGCCTTCCTGCCCGAGAGCCCGCACACGCGCCGGCGCGAGTCCCTGTTCCACGCGCCGCCGCCCGCCCTGGCCGCGGAGCTCCCCGCGCCTCAGTCCCGACTGCACGTCTCCGCCCCGGACCTGCGCCTCTGCTGGGCCCCCGACAGCGACACGGCCTCGTCGCCGGACTCGTCGCCCTTTGGCTCCCCGCGGCCGGGCCTGTGCCGGCGCCAGGTGCCCAGGCCGCACTCGCTGTCCCCAGAACCCGCGAGCTCGGCGGACACCAGCCCGCACCCGCCGCGCCGCGCTGGGCCGCCCACGCCGCCGCTCTTCCACCTGGACTTCCTGTGCTGCCAGCTGCGGCCCACGCGCGAGAGCGTGCTGCGCCTGGGGCCCCGCGGCGGGCAGCTGCGGCTCTCCACCGAGTACCAGGCCGGGCCCGGGCGGCTGCGGCTGCGCCTGGTGAGCGCCGAGGACCTGCCCAGGCCGCGCTCCCGCCCTGGGAGCGGCGGCGGCGGCTGCTGCGTGGTGCTGAGGCTGCGGCCCCGCGTCCGACCGCAGGAGCAGCGGAGCCGCGTGGTCAAGTGCAGCGCCAACCCCATCTTCAACGAGGATTTCTTTTTCGACGGGCTCGGGCCGCCGGACCTGGCCGCCCGCAGTTTGAGGGCCAAGGTGCTAGACAGGGGCGCGGGACTTCGCAGGGATATGCTGCTGGGGGAATGCGAGACGCCCCTCATTGCGCTGCTGCCCCCGCTGGGTGCGGGACTAGGTCCCGGGTCCTCCCTGGCGCCCACCCATCTCAGCCTGTAGACGAGCCCCTGGCTTCCTCAGCACGTCTCCACTGAGTCTGCGGTCCGCATTCTTTCCGCCCTGCCTGGCTTGTATTTATTTTTGCTAATAAAGTGTCCGCTTGTTCCCAGCCAGATCTTTCCCCTTGCTGGCACCTTACACGCTCGGGCGTAGAGCCTACCCTTCTTCCTTCTATCTCGGCCATACGCGGGGGGAAGATGCTCATTCGGACGGTCTGAGTAGAGGAGACCCTAAGCAGTGGTCCTCAAGCTTGAAGGAGCGTCAGAATAATCAGACATCAGAAATCCTGGAAGAGCTTGTTAAATATGCAGGGCCATGGGCTCCATCCTCAAGAGATGCTCTTTCGGTAGATCTGGGCCAAGTAGGTCCTAAGGTCCCTGTCCAATAGGGGCTCTGGAACAATCAGCCTTTCAGTCACTGAGTCACTCTGACAGAAACCAACACAAGCCACCTTCCACTGGGGGTCCCTTGGGGCTGCACAGAGGAAATTAACACTCCCCTCCTGTGCCCCTTTGAAACCCATATCTGTCCTGAAGACAGATGAAATTTCTGGGTCTTGGGAGTGAGTCAGGGGATGCCAGATGAACACACAGTGCCCTTTAGTCTTACGACTTCCCTCTTGCCTCTCCACACCTGTGCCTCCCTTGGTGGGGAGGGGGCACACCTGTGCCTCACTTGGGGGAAGGGGCATGTCTGGAGCCAAGAACCAGAGAGGACCTTAGGTACCAAATGAATGAAGACATTCCCAGGGACTGGGAGGAGGGAGGAAGGGTATTACCAAAGTGTGGGAACTGTCCTCAGGAGCTCCAGAGGAGGCTCCTCCAGCCAGAAGGAGGTGGGGGTGGAGGGAGGTGGATAAATGTAGGTCACATCATGTTTACCTCTACCTGCATGTCCCTAACGTCAGCAGTGACCTTCTCTCTCCCTCCACCTTCCCAGAACCCAGTTCCTCTTGATTCAGACCAGGCTTGGAGAAGGAAGGGAAGAAGGGAGGTAGGCACTAGGCCAACCCAGCTTCTTTCTCTCTCTGCCTTGAGCCCTTTCTCATTTTTCTAGGTGCCAGCTGTGGCCTGCACCAGGGCTACGCTTGCTGGATCCAACAAAACCTCAGCACCTGGACACGTTAAATTGCAGCACCACACACACACACACACACACACACACACACACACACACACAGACACGCTTCTTTCAGACAGCTCTCCAGTTCCTTCTTCCTCCCCTACCCACCCCTGGGCCAGAGAACTCTTGCTTCAGGTGTCCACCAGGTGGTGGCATTGATCAAACAATCCTAAGCGCTAACTACTGCACGTGGATTATAACTACACGAGGAACTGTTCCAACAATTAGTCAAGCCATTTGTTCCTCCCGGCACCTCCTATAAGGGTATAAATACTATTGTAATCCAACGTGACCTTGGGCCTCACATAGCTAGTAAAGAGAAGATCTAAGACTCACAGAGCTGGCTAGTAAGGGAAAGAACTCAGAGAATCTGGCTCCAGTTCTGGGCTCTTAATCACTTCACAATGTGCCAGCTGCTGACTCCCAAGGGGCCTCCTTCCCTAAGATGGTAGTGTGGTACCCTGCCAGTTTAAAATCCTACGTTTGAATTCTGGGAAGCCTACGTGTAGATATAGGTCTACCCTGATACTGTATTTCTGTTTTAGCCCACAAATCCTCCCATAACAACCTTTAGTGAGAAACTGGATTTGATGCCCATTTGAAAGTACCTGGAAAGAAAGTTAGAGGCCATAGAACCTTCATTCATGCATTCCTTCAACAAATACTTCGGGAGGGACCGTGCAGTGGCAGGCATTGGATACAGCAGTGATTGAAACAGACATGGGAATCAGAAAAGTGACAAAATGAACCATTAAAATGTAAAGAATGCTACTTGGTGATATGTTACAGAGAAAAATAAAGCAAGAAAGGGAATAGAAAAGAGGGGTCAGATAAAGAGAAAGGAAGATTATAGGGACAGAAAGAGGAATTTTTTTTTTAACCATAGTACTTTGGACCAGGTCCTGAACTTTACCTGTGTTATCTCAGTTCATTGTCGTAACCCTTCAGTAGAGTAGATATTATTTGTTTTATTTATTTATTTATTTTTTTTGGGACGGAGTTTCGCTCTTGTTACAGGCTGGAGTGCAATGGCGTGATCTCGGCTCACCGCAACCTCCGCCTCCTGGGTTCAAGCAATTCTCCTGCCTCAGTCTCCTGAGTAGCTGGGACTATAGGTAGGTACCACCATTTTTTTTTTTTTTTTTTTAATAGAGACGGGGTTTCACCATGTTGACCAGGATGGTCTGAATCTCTTGACCTCGTGATCCACCCGCCTCGGCCTCCCAAAGTGCTGGGATTATAGGCGTGAGCCACCACCCCCGCCCTTAGAGTAGGTATTATTATTCCCATTTTACAAAGAAGGAAATAGATCAAAGAGGTTAAGTAAGCTTGCCTGGGGATCAGCCCTAGCTGGAGGGAAGGATTCTGACTGTGACTCCACCCAAACACCCCCACTGCAACCCAACTGCTTATTTTTGGAGACAAGAGTCTCGCTCTGTCTCTCAGGCTGGAGTGTAGGGCACGATCTTGGCTCACTACAGCCTCCGCCTCTTGGGTTCAAGTGACTCTCTTGCCTCAGCCTCCTAAGTAGCTGGGATTACAGGTGCCCACCACCACACCTGGCTATGAGGGGAGGCTGTGAGGAAATCCAAGGCACTACTCCCAGGAGCAGTTCACTCAGCATTCACAGCCCTGAGGCTCTGTGATAGGGGTCCCAGCGTTGCTGGAGGAACATCTTGGGTAGCCAAAGTACGAAAACATGGGGGTCAGGGAGACAGAGGGGTGTGTGCAAAATAAGGTCCTAAGAAGCCCTCCAGTGTGCAGATTTCTGTGGCCCCAAAGCACTTTTATAAACACTAGTCAGCGGCCAGGTGTGGTGGCTCACGCCTGTAATTCTTTTTTTTTTTTTTTTTTTTAAGATGGGGTTTCAGCATGATGGCCAGGCTGGTTTTGAACTCCTGGCCTCAGGTGATCCACCCACCTCGGCCTCCCAAAGTGCTAGGATTACAGGCGTGAGCCACAGTGCCCGGCCTCATCCCTGTAATTCTAACGCTTTGATAAGTGGATAAATGTGGGAGGATGAGGCTGGCGGATCACCTGAGCTCAGGAGTTCAGGACCATCCTGGGCAACATGGTGAAACCCCATCGCTACAAAAAAATACAAAAATTAGCTGGGGCTGAGGCAGGAGGACCCCTTGAACCCAGGAGGTCAAAGCTGCGGTAAGCTGAGATCCAGCCACTGCACTCCAGCCTGGGTGACAAAGGGAGACCCGGTCTCAAAAAAAAATCCACTAGTCAGGACAGGTACTATTGGCCCGTTTTTACTGATGTGGTAGCTGAGGGCTGAGATTTCCCTCAGGGCCCACAGCTAGTAAATGGCAGACCGCATTCTCACAAGTGCTTCTGCTCCAAGAATGTCAGCACTCCAGCATGTCAACCCTCCTTGCCATTTCCAAGCCTGTGTGACTATAAATGTTAATTGGTAGAGGCGTGGTACAAGCAGGATCCCGGAAAGTTCAAGGCCAGGAGCTGGGGTCAAACTCCCACTGTTCCCTCCACCCACAGTGGCCTTTGTGACAGGAAGGGGGAGGGGCGGGGACTGTGAGATCTGGAGGCTACGGATGTTTCTAGAGCCTGGGCTGTCCTTTTTTAACGGTTGAGGCACTGCCTTTCTCTGAGTCACTCCAGTGAGTTGAGGCTTCCCCAGGCGTGGAAACCCCTAGGACCCAAAGAAAGGTTGTTCCTAATCACTGGATCAGGCATGCCAAGGAGAGGGCCCTCCGAGGATGGGGCTGGGGAAGTGTGTGCCACCGCAGGCTGCCCAGCCACCACAGGTTTTCCACCTTGACCCCCAGGCCCTCCCTGGAAGGGCAGGCTTGTGCTGAGCCTTAAGTGGTTTCTGTGGTTTGGGGTGGGGAGGGAGGGAAAGAGAAGTTGGGGACTGCTCCCCAGTTCCACGCCACCACCGCCACCTCCCACCCCTTCCAGAGTGTTTGCCCCCAGCATGGAGATCGCCTCTGATAAGGAGACTGGGCACGTGGGGGTGAAATGACTCTCCGATCCCTATCAGCCTCTTCCTTACATAAGAATGTATGCGAAGAGGAAATAACCACTGCCCTGCTTTGAAAGGACTGATTCCTCCAGAAAAGGGGATGTGATTGCAGCAAGAGGGAGAAAGGTCAGGCAAGGGGGACTTACAGTAGGAGAACCAAGGGAACTCCTTGCCCTGGGAAGAAAATAAACTCAAGCTATTCACGCTTAGGGCAGGGGAGGGGTCGAGAATGCCTAGGAAGCATGTGATGCTCAAAGGCCTAGAGGCCAGGTTCCTGCCTTCTCAATCTCCAGACGCTTCCTCCCCACCCTACACAGCAGCGCCAAGCAGCACAACCAGGGGAGGCAGCCTCGCCTGCAGTGTCTCGGGATGCCCGTGTAGATCCGATCCGCAGGCATTCTGTGTGACCTCCACTCTGTGCCTGCCCTTGCTGGGCAGTGAGAGGTAGTCAGGGAGGGCCCCAGGAGACCCGGAGTCAAGAGGAAGAGACGCCTAAAGAGGAGAAAAGATAGAGAGAGGAGAGCTGGAGAAGAGCCACAGGCAGGCGGGAGCTGCTGGGAGAGACAGAGATGGGGTAACTGAGGAGTTCTGGGCTGGAGGGGAGCAGAACTGCACTCCCACCCCCTGCATGTTGCTGGCTCCTCCTGTCAGCTGGTGGGTGCTGGGTGGGGGTGGGTGCTGCAAAGCACCTTACCTCTCACTTCAAACCTGCCCCAGGGGCAGAGCCCCCAGACAGACCAACATCCTGTTCTGTGCAGAGAAGCATATGTGGATGCGTGGACCCGCATTTACCAAAACGACACGGAGATAATCAGAGCCTCAGAGGCATAGACACATACCCTCAGACTCTCAGTGCAGAAGGTCCCCAAAACTTCCCCTCCTCTTTTTCACTCCTCATCCATTGTCAATGACCCCAGGAGCTGAAAAGTCCTCCTCCACGTCTACCTTTGTCCCTCAATCTGCAGCCATGGGGAGACTCTG